CTCTGGTGATATTGTACCTGAAACGATGTTTGAACAGGGTCATCAAAGTTTGCCATTCGGGGGACACATTTTTGTCTATTAATGAACCTACCAGGTTCCTGGAGGTTGGTCTTGCTGGCTGGCTTGCGGTACTCATACCCAAGCAGGAAGTGGGCCAAGTTGGGTGATGGCTGCTCCAGCGAGTACAGCAGCAGACGCAGTATGTACAGCCGGGTGGCACTGCGGACCTTGGCCGTGTCTTCCTCCGCCAGGGTGTCCTCATCCGTTGGGAGGTCCTCAGATGCTGCTGCTGCTAGGTCCTCGGGGTCCTCAGTCTCTAGGCAATCCACAAAGCCACGCAAAAGGTTCCTGCGTACTTCCTATACACATTGATAATTTAATATTTGAGTAATTTTCTATCATGTGTCCGAGCATAAATCAATACAGTCCTTAACTTGAAATACTTGTATGAACTATTCAACCGGGTGTCTCCATGAAGCAGCATTTCAATACCTCTTTTGCAGTGAACAGCCCCACGATGTCAGGCTGCTTGTTCGATGCACGCACTGTGCTGTGCAGAATCCTGGTGCTGGCCAGGGCATGTTTAGGGTGCGTGTCACCATGGGTGACAAACCTGGCGGGAAAGAAACAGTGATGAATCCCGTTCCAATGAAACTGTCTGACTTTCATTTCATCTTCTAAGAGCTGTGTGGAAATACTAGACTATGTCTCTACAGTTTAATGCATGTGCAACATTTCAACATTTACAAGTCTGTTGAATGTTGCACGTGTTATGCCAAGGAAGGAAACAACAGGAATACAGCACGTTTCACAAGCCACATGCCCAAAAAGGATTCTCCAACCATGACAAGCATATTTCTTCAAATGTTGACAAATGCTTTCATATCCATAATTACCAAGGGTTGATCTCCATAATGTTCAATTCTTCCATCACAAGTGTGCTGCAGACCATTAAGGTAACTTCGAATTGACAAGGATTTGAGAGATATGTACATTTCACTGTACACCCTTCCTGTGCTTGCTCGGGAGAATATAGTGTGAATTTCTGAGTCATTGGAACAGACAAAAACCATCAGGAACTAAATGTATGGCTGACCGCTGCTTACTTTGCAATGTTGACCAGGTGGTCTGCTGTTTCTGATCTAGGGTTGATGGCCATCAGTAGCTCGTCCATTGTGCTGACCATGACCCCCGACCCTTGCATTCTGACCAGGTCGACAAAAGCGTTCTGCTTCTCCAGGGTCAGCTGGACCATCTGCAGGCACATCAGGGCGCACTTGACCATTTGAGACTTGCCGGGGATGGTCAACCTGTACTGGTCCAGAATCTGGGTGACCTCGTCAATGATTTGAAGTATCTGAAGAAACACCAAGTAACAAGGAGAGAGTGGGCCTATGTCACTGATTTCATTTCTAGTGCATGTTGTTTTTACCCATGAATAAAATCAAACGCAATTTCTGCGTAAGAGTCAATGTTAAGCCTTGCAGAGCTGATGTAATATATTTTCTGTGCAGCTCTACACTCTTTTTCAAAATTTGAAAACTATTTGGTATTCTTTTGGGATGAAGTATATTTGGAAGCACACATTTCAAAATATTTCACATTGTCCGTGCGTTTCTGGACAACAGAGGGCGCTGATGTCATTTGTGACCCGCTTTGTAAAAAAGGATATTAAGTAGCATAATGCCACAACACGTAATGGCCTGTTCTATTTGGGAGGGCAATATTTCTTCACAAATGTGATTTTGTGTGCTTTCCTTTAACAGCTTCTGTAATATTTATATTTTCAGAATTTGTGACAACAAACGTGGATAATGATGAATAAAGATGAAAAATTGATCATTCAGTAAGAAATCCTGTACAGCATTGTGTTTCAAGGCACTACACTGTATGAGCTTTTTCTCAAAAAGTGCTTTTATTGAATCCAAAAATGTGGATATACAAATGTCTATATATCTCCCTAATGCAGCACACTACAGGGGTCATTCATACATCAAATTGTAGCTTTTGATGTATACAATTCAGCCGTATCAAAAACTCATAACCTGAATCTGGCGAATTATTTCCCATTTTTCTAGAGCTGGTCACATTTAGGGAAGACACTGTTCCATTTACAGGCTTTTCCGATCAAACAGTGATCTCAAAGTTTGCTACTTCTGAGAAAGAGTTGCTCGTTTGCCATGAACTTATATGGCAATGAATCAACAAATAAAAGTCAATTAAGGGAAGCAAAACATCCAGAATGAAAGCAGTTTGGGGGCACAAGCCATTGCAACAATAGGTTTTCTCCCTGCAATGACATTACATACGAAGCACAAGGGTGCTGCATGGACCCTTAAAGGTTTTCTCCACTCGGTGGTAGAGCCGAGACTGAAGCTGCATTGAAGCAAACCCGCCTCTTTGATGAAGTGACACGCCCCCCTCACCCACGGACTCACCAGCCTGAGCATGGCGCTGTCGTTCAGCATGTGCTCCATGAGATGGTAGCCTGGGGGCTTGTTGGCCATGCCTAAGCCCCCGCCCTGAATCTCCACGGGATGGTCCACGAAGTCCTGCGGCTGGGGCTCATAGTCCTGCAGGAGCTTGCAGAAGATCTCTGTCACACCGGCGGCTACCTCCCACTGGGCACAGAAAAGGCACAATATCCGATAATAGCACGATGTCCTTGTCACAGATGTGACAGTTTTTTATGAAGGAAATAGCTTAGATTTTTTGCCAGCCATCAAAATTTACTCTTGTTTGGGGGAGAATGAATATTGCTGGCAGACTTGCTGAATGTAATGAATATATTTGAGAGAAAAAAACTTATAATTGATCAACCAACCTAATGGCCTTACTATACAATCAGGCAAGAAACAGTGTGAAGACGCAACTGTTACATTTCTGTTTATTTCTGACAAGGAGAGCCAACAAGGCAACAATCCCAAGATGCCTTTCTAAATTTACATATTTCAAGAGAAGTAAAAATGTCAACAAGTCTGCCAAAAGTTTCTTCAAAAAATCGTCCTCATTTAGTTTTACTAAAAGGAGTGATTTCAATTACCAAATGTTATTGTTTGTGTTTTCTGCGATGACTGTAGTAAGGACTATAGTAAACACACTAATAGTTTTAAGGCCAAGTATCCAAGCTGCCTAATATTGGCACAAGGTACATCGTGACATGACTATTGTCACTACAAGCACCAACCCTACAAAGGTGTCAAACAAGCCACAACTCACCTTCTCCCCAGGGTCCCTATAGGCCCGCCACCGGTACTTCAGGAACACGGTGTCCCTCAGGAACTCCAGGTAGGGATCGAAGCCAGGTGGCCGGTAGCCTGCACCAAGGGCGGCTGGCACTGGCAGCTCCAGCAGGGAGCTCATGAGGTCCAGGAAGCCGCAGGTCAACGGGTACTCCTCGTTTGACGATTCGATCTCGTCCAGCTCCACGGGGATGCCGGAGGCTGGCGAACCCGGCTGGACCACGGTGGGGATGACCTGCATGATGGACAAAGGGGCAGAATTGAAAAAAAAAATCATCTCAAGATAATTCTTTTTCAATCTAGCTGCAGTGACACTGCTGTTATAATAACGAGACCATTTTATAGCACTTTTTGTTACAAAGTATCACCAGTCTTTTCGCGGTCAAAATCATGGTGCAAAAGCAGACGTCACATAACTCCAGACATTCATTTCATGGTAAGGACTTTAGAATATCTGCTCTGAGTTGAAATGCCCCTTACTGGCAAAGTAGAGACAGGCTGGTGGACACTGTTTTCAACTGAACTCCTGCACGCGCCCGCTGCACACATAAAGACCTACATTCCAACTTTAATTGGTTGCGCGTACGCAGTGTGCTCCTCAACAAACGTGCATGAAACTGTGTACTTACATGGGTGATTTCCTACCAAAGGACCACAGTTTTCATGTAAAAAAGTTCTCCCTCTTGTTCGTTCCCACTGGTTATATGATGCGAGATTGGGAAATCAAGCAAAATCCACAAAACGCTCAGCAGGGGAGCTCTGGTAACAGTATAATGCCACCACATTTCTGGGCTTCGGATAGCCTTAATGTAACAAAGCATGAGTTCTCTCACAAAACAATGGCCAAATTAGGTGAATTTTGCACTCAATTTTTTAGACAAAGTTCACAAAAGTAGCAAAACTCTAATAACAAATAGTACTTGGGGTCAAGAACTCAAAGTCTGAGAAAAAACCTTAGAAATAATGTCGGTGTGTTATGGTCTGCACAGAAATTCTATTTTTAACAAATGTTAGGTTATTCATACGAAACAAAGACTTCAAGAGTGGTAGCTGTGATGGGGGAGGAGTGCAGGTCGAGTTGGGCCTGGAAAGGAAATAAACAGAAGCAGTAAATCTAAAAAACCTACCTGGGACACTTCGAGCGACTGCCAGAGCTTGGCACCAACCTCCGGCGAGTGAGCCAGCGTGGCCAGAGTGCGCAGGCACTGACCTTTCAACTTTGGCGGCACGCTGCAGCTGATAAGTCCAAGTAAAAGGACGATGGGAAGCCAGGACTGGTTCTCGCACAGGGCCAGCCTGGCAGTCTCATCCTGGAAGGGGAAGAAACAAACAGAAATGCAGGGCAAGTGAAAGTGTGTTCCACAAGGAAATTAACCCCTCGACCGGTTGCAGGCACTGTGGATGAGATACACCAAAGGCTGAGCCTGGTATTATTCAGTCATGGACATTCAACCTTCTTCATGACACTAAGGGATGACAAATAGATCTAGCAATTGCCCTATCATGGTAAGATCACATCAAGACAGCTTGTTAAATACTGTCCAATAACAATAACAATAATATGTGACCAGCCCTAGAAAAATGGGTAATAAGTCGTCAGATTCAGGTTAGGAGTTTTTGATACGGCTGAACTGTATACATCAAAAGCTACAATTTGATGTATGAATGACCCCTGTAGTGCGCTGCATTACGGAGATATATAGACATTTGTATATCCACATTTTTGGATTCAATAAAAGCACTTTTTGAGAAAAAGCTCAGAAAGTGTAGCACTCAGAAGCACAATGCTATACAGGATGTCTTACTGAATGATCAATTTTTCATCTTTGTTCATCAGTATCCATGTTTGTAGTCATCAAGTGCAGACTGCCCATTATATTGTTTGACACAGGTGTTTGCCATTCGTTCTTACCCACTTGGCGATGACCTGGGTCAGCCTCAACACGGCCAGCAACCCCTCCATCTCTTGTGGAGTGATCCCCTTCACCACGCTGTACCGGTGCATAGCGTGGGCCTGGGCCACTTCGGGACGGGGGGAGCTAGTGGCCTCTTGTCGGAGGCTGGTGTAGTAGCGGTTGATGGACAGGAAGAAATGATCCCACGACACTGTGCTGGAACTGCCCCCTGAAGAATAATGTGAAGTT